CTCAGATAAGATAGAATGATGGCTGTATGCCACATCTGACCCACAGACATGTTTTGTCTGACATGCTTTCCTGTTTTATTTATTTTTAAAAAATTTTTTTTCAACGTTTATTTATTTTTGGGACAGAGAGAGGCAGAGCATGAACGGGGGAGGGGCAGAGAGAGAGGGAGACACAGAATCGGAAACAGGCTCCAGGCTCTGAGCCATCAGCCCAGAGCCCGACGCGGGGCTCGAACTCACGGAGCGCGAGATCGTGACCTGGCTGAAGTCGGACGCTTAACCGACTGCACCACCCAGGCGCCCCCATGCTTTCCTGTTTTAAAGAAATGGAGTTAGTTGTCAACATTGATATTTGGGAGAGTTCACTGGATTCCTGATTTCTCTTCATTTCTTGATCTTCAGGAAATCATCAGCTGGAAATGAGTAGTGGCTGTGCCCTTCAGATTGGTTTGAGCTCTCTGGTTCTTCATAGCCCCTTTCACTGTCGATTGTTTTGCACCTGCCCTTCTTCATCTATTCATGTTACCTGCTTGGCTTGTTGGGCATTTAAGTTTGCCACCTGTGAACTATATCCTGAGCAGCTTCGTCTTTAAAAAAAATTTTTTTAAATCTTTATTTATTTTTGAGAGAGAGAGAGAGAGACAGAGTGCGAGTGGGTGAGGAACAGAGAGGGAGGGAGACACAGAATCTGAAGCAGGCTCCGGGCTGTCAGCACGGAGCCCGATGTGGGACTTGAACTCATGAACTGTGAGATCATGACCTGAGCCCAAGTCAGACACTTAACTGACTGAGCCACCCAGGCACCCCTTAAAATTTTTAATGTTTATTTTTTTTTTAATTTTTTTTTCAACGTTTATTTATTTTTGGGACAGAGAGAGACAGAGCATGAACGGGCGAGGGGCAGAGAGAGAGGGAGACACAGAATCGGAAACAGGCTCCAGGCTCTGAGCCATCAGCCCAGAGCCCGATGCGGGGCTCGAACTCACGGACCGCGAGATCGTGACCTGGCTGAAGTCGGACGCTTAACCGACTGCGCCACCGTGGCGCCCCTAATGTTTATTTTTGAGAGAGAGAGAGACAGAGACAGAGACAGAGAGAGACAGAGAGAGAGAGAGCACGCATGTGCAAGTGGGGGAGGGGCAGAGAGGGAGACACAGAATCTGAAGCAGGCTCCAGGATCTGAAGTATCAGCACAGAGCCCAATGCCGGGCTCAAACTCACAAGCAGTGAGATCATGACCTGAGCAGAAGTCTGATGCTTGGCACTCCCTGAGTAGCTTAGTCTAATGTAGATCATCTCTTAAAAGAAATTTCTAGGCCCACTTAACAGATATTTCCTGGAGCTATCTCAAAAAGGGTGTCAAAAAGAGACATTAGCTATATAAACTTAATATTTCAAGAAACCTTATAATTTACACATAAGAATTATGTTTCTCTTCAGTGATATGTGATGAAATCCTTCAATGAAAGGGGCCTGTGAGCTTGTTTAAAAGCGGACCAAGGAAAGTAGGAGTTACAGATATACCTTGCATCCTATTCAGGAGCCAGTTTTGGGGAGAGAGAACTACATACCTATTAAAACAGCTGAAATAATAAAGAGTGATAACACAAAGTACTGGTGAAGATGAGGAGAAACTAGATCTCTCATACATTGGTAACAGGAATGTAAAATGATATAGCTACTCTGGAAAATAGTTTGGCAGTTTCTTAAAAAATTAAATACACATTTACTACATGACCCATCACTCATACTCTCAGGCATTTATGTGATGAAAATGAAAACTTAAGTTCATGCAAAAAACCTGTACACAGATTTATTTGTAATAGCAAAAAATAGGAAACAACCCAACTGTACCTCATCTGGGGAATGAATGAACACAACCTGATACATACAACAGAGTACTAGTCAGCAACAAAAAGGAATGAACGTTTGATTCCTACAACAATCTGGCTGGTCCTCAAGGGCATTATGTTTAGGTAAAAACTTCAGTCTCAAAGGTTATACGCTGTTGGATTCCATTTATATAACATTCTTGAGATAACTATAGACATAAAAAGCAGATCAGTGGTTACTAGGGGACAGGGATGGAGTAGGGGGGCCAGAAGGGGAGGTGAATTTATGAATGCAATAAGGTAGCATAAGGGAGTTCTTCTGCGGTTATAGAACAGTTCTGTATCTTGGTTGTAGTGGCGGTTACACAAATCTATACATAGAATAAGACTACACACACACACACACACACACACACACACACACAAATGCAGATTTAAAGCAAATGATAAAAACTAAGTAAGTTCTGTAGTGTAGTTAAAGGTAATGTGCCATTGTCAATTTCCTGGTTTTGATATCTTATTAGAACTCTACACGAATGTCACCACTGGGAGAAGCTGGGTGAAGGCTAAATGGGACTCTTTCTACTATTTTTGCAACTTCTTGTGAGTCTATAATTACTTCAAAACAAAAATTAGAAAAAAAGAAAGGAAAGTAAGCTGAATGCCTAGGGCTGGTGTTTGCGGAGGTGAGCAAGTGGAGTATGGAGAAGTAAATTGGGGCTGAGAAACATTTCTACAAGTTTAACCTACAAAAGCCTTAAACTTGCTCCCCATCATCTCTCCTGCTGTCATTACCTCTTTAGTGCTCTTTAGTCTGCCCTTGTTAGACAGTTGTTTCTCTATTGTTCCTGTTATGGTGCTGAGCAGAGAACTATGCTGAAAGGCACACCGATCAATCAATCAATCTCAACCCATTGAGTGGAATCACCAGTCCTTCAATTCTTTTCAGTTATTAGTTTTTCTACTACCTGATATTCAAGAGTGTTTCTTTGCTGCCAGAGGTGTTTTTTATTTTAACACCTGAATTCGATGCCATTGCAGATGCTAGAAGTTGCCAGAAGGCTGTCCTCCAGGTAACTGTCTTATGCTCTAACTTGTATTACTGTTTTATTGCAATTAGCATGCAGAATATGCATTGTCATCTTATTAAAATTTATATTTTCTAATGGAGAAAGCACATGGAGAGTTGATTGTGGAGCTGTGGTTTATCCGTGCTCTTCTTAGTTACCTGTGTCTAAATTAAGCTGACCCTCTGGGCCTTAGCTATTTCTAAACAGGCATCACGTTAATGCCTGGGGGAACATTAACCTTGCAGACACTAATCTAACTCAGTGCCATCACAAGTGCATAATGCGGGAGTTTGGAGCTTTGCCAAAAAGCAGTATTCAAATGAACATTCAGTTGGCAAGGGGTGGGAAGGTGGGCGTGGACAAGGGAAGGAGAACACCAGAAATGGTTATATAGATATTGTAAAGCCTTTCATTTCCCTCTCTCCTCAGAGGTTATGTTTACTGCAGAGAGATGCTAAATAAATCTTCAGACTGTTCTGAAGAAATCGTGATTAAGGTGCTTCATCCCTTGTTCATAATCACTCAACATTCACTGAGCATCTTTTACGTTACACGGCTGACCTTGTGCTAGGGTGGGGACACAAAGATGAGTAATTGTAAACCACTGCAGTATGCACAAGCACCTCACGGTGCTTAAAAAATGTTAGTTGAATAAAAGCATGTTTAAGGAGGTCACAATTTGGCTAAGGTCACTTAAAGGGCCTCCAACGGATGACACAACTGTAATTCTAGCTCTATATAGATCATTACCAAATCTTTGCCAGAAAGAGTGAGGTTTGGGCCCCAGGTGATGTGACAGGGGAAAACCTGTAAGACCTTGCGCAACAGGGTCCAGGATCTCCTGATCTTTCTTTAGACTCGCACTCTGCTTCTCAGTTTGCAGACGCTAACAGGGTTTGCTGGTTTCAAGGGCTCTGGAGCGCCGTTTCCGGAAACGGTGGCATTTGGGGTGGTGAAGGCCAACGACTGGAGGCAGCGGGGGAGAGGGCAGGTAAGAGAGGAGAAATGAAAAAAACCAAGGCATTTTGGTCAGTAGGTCCTTCACCTAGGTCCCGCCCCTTCCTTTTCCTAGGGCCTGAAACGCACCCGACCCCCGAGCCCTCTCAGGGCGCTAGGCACGGATTATGGATGAAGGCTGACTCCCTATCAAAGAGATTTCCTCAGTGCCGACATTTCTCCAATTGCTTTCATCCGGGCCCAGCTCGGGAAACCTGAGGATTGGGGCCAGCTTCCCCGGCCACGCTGGGCCAGTGACACGCAGGCGCCGGAATCGGAGCCACGCTGGGTCGTCCCAACCTGGTCCCCAGGCCAGGAAGGGAGGGCGCCGCGGAGCGCTTCCCGTGTGCGGGGCTTCCCACAATCCACCGCGCCGGCAGTGGCGGCGACCGCGGCGGCGCTCTAGCCGCGGCATGTCTGCGTCTCGACTGCTCTGGGAGGAGGAAGAGAAGGAGGAAGAGGAGGAGGAGGAGGGGGAGGAAGAGGAGAAAGGCGCAGGGGTGGGAGCTGTTGCTGAAGCTGCCACAGCAAAAGTTCTCTCCCCTCCCCCCTTCCCCTTCTCTCAAGGCCTCTAGGAGGGTTGGAGCTGCCGCCGCCTGCAGTCGGTGACCGCGCGACTCGGCGCCCGCCCGCGGTAAAGCGCTGGGCCTGGCAGGCCCGGGCCCTTGGGGAGGGTGGGGGAGGGGGAAGCGACGGCGCGCGGGGGTAGCGCGCGGCGGTAACGGCCTGACCCCGGAGGGGGGGGGAGCGAGCCGTGGCGAGGCTGGGGGTGGCCTGGGGAGCGGCCGAGGCCGAGCGAAGCGCAGGAGCTGGCTGGGGGACGGGAGGAAGCAGGGCGCGGATGGTGGGTTGGGGGGTTGAGAAAGGATAATGACGGGGGTGGCGGAGGCGAGAAGGCGGCCTCCGAGGCCTGAGGCGGGTGTCAGAGGTAGGGAAGGAGGTGGGAGGTTTGCAGGGGGAGGCCGGAGGGTGCTGGGTGTGGGTGTGAAAAGGCTAGAGAAACACCAGGTCTCTGTCCGTCGTGCCTGGTGCAGTGCTTTATGCACCGCAGGCCTCAGTCACTGTTGCTGCCGGAGTGTTCTTTGGGAGAAGGGAAGGGAAGGGCAGGGGTTGGAGAAAAGGGAATCCTTGCGGGAAACATAGTGGGAGTGTGTTCAGGGAGAGCGGCCAGAGGGAAAGATGCCGGATAGGTGGAGGAATGCAGAGGGTGCCCGTGGAGGAGTATCCAGGAGTCCGGAGGGTGTTCATTGTGCAGATACATTAGGTATTTCGTTATGGAAAGAACTGAAGCGTTTCTAAGGAAAGGAAAGAACGGATACAAGGAGTTTCCGCGAATAGAAAGGATAGCGTTCGAAGCCAGAGGAAGTGCTAAATACTAGAGACTATGAAGAGAATGCATGATAGAATAGACAGATGTAGTAGAATTAATAAATGTTGGCCCAAGGACTAAAGAGTTATTCCAGATGGGCCGGGATGGCCTAGTTCTGAACCTGTTTGGGCTCTTCTGTAGATGACATCTGGTAAGTGTGGGTCCCGCAGTGGTTGGGGGTCACTGAGAATTAGACCTTAGTCTGTAGTTTGATCTGAGACCTTTTAAACCTGCACCAGTGAATATTAGAATCTCTGAAACAGACGGTAAAAAAAACGCCTGGCCTCCAGGGATTCCCTAGGCCGTGAGTTTAGATTTTAGCAAATTTAAAGTACTGTCATTTATTAGAGTCAGGGTGAACACTAATGCCGGAATGGAAATTACTGGACTTGGCGGTTTTCTTCTTCACTGCCCAGCTTATCTGGTCCAGGAGAACTGATGCCATATTATTCACCCCAGGGTTATAATTAATGGTGGGTGGGGGGAGTCCATGCACAGTGGCCTTTCTTTGGAGATTCCATTTGGAGCTCAAATTAGTCTGACTGGATTGGTTCCATAACTCTGGAGCTGGTGGGAGACTTTTTGCTATTCATGGTTCCTGAATGTATACTCTCACGGAGGCATTGTGGTATTGAAGAAAATGCATCAGTCTGCAAAGTATGGGCCTGCAGAATGGAGGATCTAGAATGTCTGTTTTGGTCGTAGGTTGCAAGGAGGTCAGGACTGGTTGGGTTGAGGTTTAGGGGAACCTGAAGAGACTAGATGATTCTAGAGCCAAATTAGAGGGAATATTAGCATTTTCATATCAGGAAATGAACCAAGGCCTATTGGATTTCTCTAGCTCCCACCAGACTGGATTTCCAAGAGGGAAATCTAGGCTAGAACCATACTTTTAAGATTTGCCTGAAAATTATTCACTTTTTATTGTTAAGAAAGACTGTACACATAACATTGTAATATTAATTCAGCTGAAGAAAGGGTAGTATGAAATATCTTTTTATGGAAGTAGAGGGTGGAGGGATTGATGGGGAAGAAGTTTGGGAGAGGGACGGGAAAATTCAGTCTTTTATTCGTTTAGCAAATATATCTAAGGAGGATGAGAATTTAGCATTAGAGATGAGAGGGGCTTTTATTAAAAAAATTTTTTTAATGGAAATAAGCCAGGATTACTTTTTTAAATTTGGAAAACTTTTTATGTCAGTATATTTAAATTTACTTTTTTCAAGGGCTTCAGTATATTACATTGTAGGATGTACCCATTTTTATTGTCATCACAGAATGAGAGGGTCTGTTTTCTTTCCCCTCACCTGCACTGTATATTATCATTTCTTTTAATTTTTGTAACTTTAATGGACTTAAATATAGTATGTCATCATTATTTTTCCCCCTTTTAAATTGTATGGAATTATACATGTACATAATTAAAAAGTAAAATTGTCCTGAGAGAGCTTATAATGAAAAGCTCACAAGGGTGAGCCCTTGTCTCACCTGTCCATCACAATCCCACTTTCCAGAGGCTACTACTTGTAAGCATTAATTTTTGTAGTTCGTATCATGCTTTTCTTCAGGTTTCCAAGTAATATACATGTACTGTAATTTCTTGATTGATTAAAATGACATTATGAAGGAGTTGAAAGACCTCTGTTAATGAAAAGGATTCGTGTCGATGATATTATCCCCTTTCTCCTCCTCTCAAACCTTTGATAGTTATTATTTTAGCTTTTTTATTAACTGTATGTCTTTAAATAATATGCTTAAATAGAAAGCATTTAAAATTATACTGGAAATAGACTGGGTGAGAAGGTAAAGGGAAGTTTGATGGATGGATATGTAAGAAAAACTAGGTTGTAGGAGACATCTTTGCAGCAAAAGGGTTGCTGGTTAGTGATGAGGAAGAGTTGCTTGGCAATGATAGTTATTCATCTTGGAATTAGTTATCAGGTCAACTGTGCAATGTTCTTTGACAGTCTTCTGGAGAGTTTAGAGTGAGGACTCTGGGAATGGATTAAATGACTCCTTATTCTTTCCAGGCTTCTATGGCAATTCTTATAAGAGTTTTTAGGAAGGAGTGAATCGGTGTGGATAATGTGTTTCTTTTTTTGTGGAGGGAGGGAGGGATGGGGAAGTGTGATCGCAGGGGGAAGAGGATGAAGGTCAGGGTATGATGGAGGTGGTGGTAATTTTGTGGGAGGCTGAAGAAAGGGTAAAGAATTCTGAGGACATTTGGATATAGTGGATGTGAAGGGGATTTAAAATTACAGTGGTGAGATAGATTTGTGGCAGTTACAAGGAGATATGCATATTTAAGTCACTAATATGGTGGAAATATGGTGGGAAAAAGTATGCTGCTTATATATTAGGATAGATTAATAAAATATTGGGTTTTTGAAATTTGTATATGGGGCTTAACATCACCAAGTTAGTATGATGGATATGGAAAGAATAGAAAGAACTTGCTCCCCTTTTCGGAAGTCTTGTTTAACCTTACCTCTTGAGAATCTTCTTTGAGTAAGAAGCATTCACATGTAGATTATATACTGCTAAATCTTGTGTTTGCTTATGGGAATTATTCTCTCTTTGTTTTGCAGAGGGTGGCTAGACTGTACCCTACTCTGGAGCTGAGACTTTCTTAACCTTTGGGGAAACTCAGAACAGTTTAAGTGCTTAGTAAATAACCTCTTGAATGACTGATAGAAAGTAGTTTTCACTGTCGTGATAATAGTGGGACTGTGTGAAATTGCTGAACACCATGGGAGTATTGTAGACTAAATTGTGTGTTTAGAGAGTGAGGGATAAAACGGATATCTGATTGGTGAAGCCTTTAGATTTAAGGGAAGAAGACAGAATGGATTAGAATGTGACTAGAACAATCCTGCAAAAACATTGAAGGGGTGGACCAAAGTTTCTCTTCTAATCTGAGGCTAGTTTAATCTGAATAAATTTTAAATCTGGAGTTGGTGGCTGATTTAATTTCTGTTTTCTTACTTCAGATCTAAATGACTAGAGATTTTTTAGCTGTTTTAAGAATCTGATTTAAGGGGCGCCTGGGTGGCGCAGTCGGTTAAGCGTCCGACTTCAGCCAGGTCACGATCTCGCGGTCCGTGAGTTCGAGCCCCGCGTCGGGCTCTGGGCTGATGGCTCAGAGCCTGGAGCCTGTTTCTGATTCTGTGTCTCCCTCTCTCTCTGCCCCTCCCCCGTTCATGCTCTGTCTCTCTCTGTCCCAAAAAATAAATAAATGTTAAAAAAAAAAAAAAAAAGAATCTGATTTAATTAATTTTGGTATGGTAATAAAAAAGTGTTAGGTGCAATTTCTTGCCTCAAGGAATTTATAGTATTTATATTCATTTAGGGGGAGAAGGACAGTTGTGAAGTAATTTAGTAATAGTGTAAGATTTCAGAAAGTTGATTTTTTAAAACAAGTATCAGCAGTATACCTCCAGGGGCGCCTGGGTGGCTCAGTCGTTTGAGCATCCAACTCTTGATTTTCGGTTTAGGTCATGATCCCAGGGTCATGGGATTGAGCCCTGAGCGTGGAGCCTACTTAAGATTCTCTCTCTTAAAAAAAAAAAAAAAAAAAAAAAGTATACCTCCAGGTGAGAATTTTTGTATTTTGGTAGTCGTTTTCAGTAGTAGAGTTCAAGAACTTTTTTGGATCACCTTTTCTGAATTCCCTTCTGAGCCTCTAGCACATTCTATACAATTTATCTAATTATTAAGTACCTATTGTGTGCTCTGGGGGGATGAGCTTTTAAAGGTGGGTTAAACATGGTCCCTATCCTCAGAGTTCATAATCCCTTTAGAAGGGCACAGTTACAAACAATATGAGGCATAATGTTATTCTGAATAGCCTTATTGGTGACAAATCTTTTTAGTTTGAAAGATTTGATTTTTAGAAATGCTGAAGATATGTTGATAGCAAAGAGAGTGAATAAAGAATAGTTTTGGTTTAAATTCAGTTAGTCACAGATATAGGAATGATTTTTGTGGTTGACTTATTAACTGAGTTACTTTGGAAAACACTACCAGTGAGGAAGTCAGAAATACTTTGAAGAGTGGTGATAACTTCACTTGGAGGTAGGTGAACACTAGATGTTAGCTAAGTGCATGAACTGGTTGGATGGATGGAGTGAATAAATGAGTAAGTGGTAGCCTCCCAAGGTAACTACTTTAAAGAGGACCTCATTGATTTTAATATGTAAATAAATTCTGGCTAAATTTGTTAATAAACATTTTCATTACTGGGAACAAGATGGTTTATGATTAAGCTCCCAAATGAGTTTTATGGATAGTGAATGCTGTAGGAGTTCAGGGAATGGAGAAATGAATATTGGCTAAGGTTTGGGGAAAGGATTTAAGTGTACCGTACTTTAGCTAGATATTTGAAAGGATTCCTTAGGGATCTCAGGAGAGGAACTAAATTGCTCCAAATTTCTCTTGCAGCCCTAGAATGAACCTAGAGTCTGGATCTATTTTTGTCTTAATGCTTTCTGCCTATTTCATTTTAGCTACTCCTACTGGTTTGTTCCTTTTCAAATTCTTTGCTGGGTAGATTTTGAGCTCCCTGGAACAACGGGGAGGGGGGAAATCTGTTTCCATCTATGTCTAGTGTAACTTTTAGTTTTTCCTTTTATGAGCCTGTACCCCACAAATTACTTGGTCTCTGTGAGTGAAGAGCATGAGTCAACTTGGCTCTGCTATCCTGGCATTTTCCTGCATGCTTTTCTCAAAGCTGCTTTCTGAATTACAGAATAGAATAGACAGAATTGAGGGCATATGTCTAGTAGACACATGCTTGTTGAATAAATGAATGAGAAAGTAAGTATCAGATAATTTAGAAGATCTAAATGATCTATTTCTGTTTGTTTCAATTCATTACGTGCCTTTTTTCTTTTTCTTTCTTTATTTCTCTCTCACTCTCTCTTTTTTTTTTTTATGTTTACTTATTTTTGAGAGAGAGTTGGGGACAGAGGATCCAAAGTGGTCTTTCTGCTGATGGCAGTGAGCCCAATGCAGGGTTCAAACTCATGAACCATAAAATGACCTGTGCTGAAGCTGCACGCTTAACAGACTGAGCCACCCAGGCACCCCTACCTGCCCTTTTTCTACAAAGGATTTTATGGGGGCTGACAGAAATATGTACACTGTAAATGA